AACCAGAGAACAATTTCTATAAGAACAGAAGTAAATTATACGGATTAAATTATATTAAAATATTTTCAGTTCCCAAAAATGATGGCCTAAGTTTTTTTTTCTTTCTTTCTCTTTTTTTTTTTTGCCGAAAACATCTTTTGGAAAGAAAGAAGCAGTGTTGTTTTTTTATTTTGTTTATCTTCAGGACCTTGTAAAATTTCAGTCTGTGTCCAGAACCCTCAGCTCAAACAATCAGCTTTTACTTACAGTCCCTCGGACCCGACTAAGGAAAGGAGATCGGGCTTTTTCTGTTGTTGCTCCTAATCTGTGGAACAATTTGCCCTTTCAGACTAGATCTGCTAACAGCCTGGATCATTTTAAATCGCTCCTCAAAACTCATTTTTATTCGTTGGCTTTTAATTGAAGCAATTTTTGATATTCTGTTTTTATCTATTTGTGCTACTGTCCTTCCCGTGCAGCACTTTGGTGCAGCTCTATACCTGTTTTTAAAGTGCTGTATAAATAAATTTGACATTGACATTGTCATGAACAGACCAAGCGACACAACACATTTGGTGGAGCTAGTGATCTGACCTGCATGTGAACCGTCAACAAACTGAAGCTTGTCTGGGCAGCTCAATGTTTGACTTCATAAATCCTGCATAAGTTTTGGCTTGGAAGCGTCTGCCCATTTCTTTTCTCTGTTTTAATAGCTTGCATATGTCAAATGAGAAGAATTTGAACTTGCTGACTTGATTGACATTGATTTGATGAGCCAAAGATGTGAGTCTCATCTCATCAGCTGCTATTTCAGACTTTTATTTACTAGAGCTGAATGAATTAAGCTCTCTTGGTGCCTTCATAGTCCTCTCACTGCATATCAGTAAAATCAGTTCAACTTCACTGCTTTATTGGTTTTGTAGTATCACATTTATCTTAGTAATTTAACTTGCTAATTGCTTTAATTAAACTTAACAATATTATGAGATGTGGGATAATAACACCATGTGGTTATTAAAATGCATTCGGTTATATTAATTATGCTCCTCTTTTATTGAGTTACCTTGTTTGAGGAGTTGGCTGCTTTCTGTCTGGGGAAGAGCTCAGTATGGGGGCGTTTTAGAGTTATTTAGATTATTTGTCTAAGTTAGTATGATGCTGCATTCAAGTTGCTCTCAGAACTGGGACATTTCAACTTCACAGTCGGAAAAATCAACTAGAACTTCTCCTGTAGTCGGATTTCTAACTGGGAAGCTAGAAGCCATTGTGGCTTCCCCTGTAAGGCAGACTGTGTTTCAATATGGACGCTCCGTACATGAGCAGTATATAAGACAAACATGTAAACGTGGATCTAAAATCATTGTTACAAGTAGCGAACGCATCTCTAAGCTGAACAAATTCATTAAAGTTTAAAATGGTGATGTTGAGAATGTCTATGGGCTTCGCCGTGTTGAAATTCTTAACTAGTATGCTGTTAACTCATCAAGTTCAGCTGATAGTTCCAACTTCCAAAGTAACCTGAATGCAACATTAGTTAATTTTATCTATACATTTTTTTCTGACCATTTATAAATTACATAACTTCTCCTCAAGTGTCTTTGTGTTTGGTCAGATTTGTGAGTTCAGGTGTGTATATTTTGAAAGTTACTTTTTAAGTAGAGTTGTAATTTGCTGAGCTCTTTAAGTAATTTAGGTGGTTGAGATTCCTCCCAGTGGACTCGGTGCCGTTGTGGGCAGGACATTTCGCCTGCTGGTAGTCTTGCAGACAAAGCAGCCTTGTAACATAAAGCATTGCAGAAGACTCAACCGGGATAAAATACTAAACAAAAATGACCATCCATCCTTTAAGGCCCCTTATTGTGGAGCTCTGTTGTCATTTTTGAACAACAAAAATCCATTTTGAAAACATTTTTTCCTGTGTCCCCTGCTGGTTCCCTCAGACACTGGTGATCTTTCCTTAGTAAATCTAGAAAAAATGATTTAGTCTCTTGATTAAGCAGTGAGCAAGCATGTTTTCTGGATTTTATTATTTATTTTTTTTTTTTAACAAATTAAGCGTCTCAGTTGCACATTCTCACACAGGTGCTCCTTATCTATTCATTAAGTCACCAGTCAAGTTCAGTAATCAAACTCCATTGTTTAGATACTTCTTTGTACGGTTATTTCGTTCTCAGATCCTTTGCTGTTCTCAGCTTTTATTGCGTTTCCTGAGCTTTGTCGTTCGTTATTGTTAAAATCTAGTTTTATGATGTGCTTCCTATCGTCATCCGTGGGTTTTGGCTCCCCAACCACGTCATGACATGACAGGTCACATGCCTTATTTGTTACTTTTTTTTTTTTTTACACACATTTGTTTTCTTTCACCAAGGCCTGTTTTCTATTTATGTCTCTCTGAGGCTTGAAGAATCTGGTTTGAAAGAAATGATACAATTTTGACTCAGACAGAGGAAGTCCAAGCTGTGCCCTCCTTCAAAGAATTGCATTTTAAAGGTTCCTGCTGCAAATGTTCAGTTGTGAAAAAAAGCAACTGAACTTGCAATCTGCCGGAAAGAACATTGTTGTTTAACTCTCATGCCTGTCTATGTCTTTTTGTTTTCCATTTCTATGAGCACCACTTAGCAACATGTCTATGTCAGATATCAACTAAAACCACCACAATCATCTTAAAATTAAGACTTGCAAAATTGTAATATTGTGGAATTAAGTTTTAACCTGTTTGCCCCGCTGCGCCTCTTTTGTCAGCATTGTTCTCGCAGGACGCCATCTTCTCTTCGTTGCTTCAACAAAGCTCTCTGTAAAGTGTAAGAATATTAGTCTTTCTCATTCTGTGGGAACATTTCTGGCAGTCTCAGTATCTCATTTAAACAAAACAACTTCTTGACCCAAATCACTCAGAAGATGACTGAACAGACCGTTCTTGGACGAGTTTCAGATGATTTAACACGTTTTGGGCTCGAGTTGCAGTCTGTCTCCCTCTCTCCATCTGGTTGGAAAACAGCTGTTGTGGTATGTAATAGCGCTGAGAGAGGTACATCAGCCTGGAGACTTTCTGGAGCATGAGTGGCTTTCATCCTTTAAGTACGGCTCTCCCATTTTGAATCAACAGGTTGAATCCAGCCCTGAACAACAGGGATGCCACTGAACCATCATTTCCTCCCACATCCTGAAAGCTACACACCAGTTTGCTACAATACACAGGTGCGACTTCATGTGAGCTTCTAAATGAGCAAACTGGATCCCCATATGTGAGTTAATCTGTTTTAGATTGGTGATGTAGGTGCGACACTGTGAAGGTTACGACACAATCCACCTTGCTCTTCAGGAAGAAGCATTTTTATTGCTTCTCAAAGCAGAGCAGTAAAAGTGTGATGAGGTCTTACAGCTGCTGCTGGAAATGTTCTTAAATGTGTTATTTACATATTGGATAAAAGTGTCGCTATGTCCTGAGAGAGTACAATAATATGAGACAGATAAACATTGTGACACATCAATGTTTATCTGACATCATCAGCTGTCGATGTCATCAGATAAGCAGTTTTCCTGTAGCTTTACGTTGTTCCGCTATCATTAGCACAGCCATTACAAGTTGGAAATCTTGAGCTTGTGCGTTTTGTGCTGAGTAAAGGTGTGAACAGCACATGCACGAGCTGGCTGACAACGTTAAGACCTTCCTCCTGGCTCTGATTGGTTGTTTCTGACCGGGAGAGGGGCATCTCTGCAGATAACAATAGGTCCTTTGGGAGAAGGTGGAGAGTTTTAAAAACATTAAAAACGTTTTCATAAAGACAAAAGTAACAAAGGGGGACTTTTTTCTCAGTTTCTCACACAAGATCAGATGGGGTGTGTATAGCTTTTACCCCAATAAAAAAATGTTATTATAAATTGGATGCAACATTTTACATTTACTCTGGTCATTCTTGCATTATGTGACAAAATAATCAAGAGCAGAAGTCATCTGTAAGAGAGTAAATACTTCACTGTAGAGCGCTTGCAACTACATTTGCAGCAGAGGTAGCTAAGATGAGCTTATGCCTGAAACCGGAAAGCCTCCAAACTTTTATCAGACATGAGCTCACTTCATGTAATCAGGGAAGTGAATGGAAGACATTCCTCCAAACTGTGAGCTGATAGGGGAGGAGGCAAAAACAATTACCAAGAAAGTGACGTATTAATTACATAAACCCTTTTCTGCGTCCTTAATGTGCCCTTTCCTTTTTCAAGTGTAGTTTTATCTGGACCTGGTATTAGTCCAGTGGACTGGCAAAAGGCTCCTGGAGGGAGGAGTAATGAAAGAGAGGGAAGAAGTGGAGGAACATGTTTAAGAATCTGACTGTCCCGTTAGTTCACAGCTGCGTCTCATGCTGCAGGATCGCAGTCAATCAAACACACACCCACCCTGAATCACATGGATCACATGAAGTTAAATGCTTTTTAATTTCATTCGCACTCCACATCACTTCCAGAGCTACATCACCACATCTCCTACCTCGCCCGCTTCCTTGCTTCCTTGAGAATGACCAAAACGCTCTGGGAATTTAATGGAAACTGAACGGATGCTGGAACATCAGTGGGACGATTGAATCAGTGGAAAGATGCAAAAGCACATCTGTGTGTTGTCATCCTAACAATGTGCTGTGGGTGGAAGATGTACTTTCAGCTGGACTTTCCTAAACAAAGCTCCACTGTTTATAGCATTTCATGGAGATTTTTGCAGTGGCATGCATTTGTAAACACATCCATGGCACATTGTGTTGTTTTCTGTTTTGTGGGACTTGTCCATCCATCCTTTGGGGAAGAACACAATTACAACAAATCATGACTCATTTCAGTCACATGAAAGAGACTGCAGCTTTCCAGAAGGGATTAAGATTAAATCTTCTTGGACTGAAGCCGAGCAGAACAGAGCAGTGCAGAGCAGAGGAGGGGGGGAACCACTGTGACCCTCAGAGGGGACAGAGCCAGAGAACAAACCCAAAAGGCAGGCCTGTCCAGCAAGAAGCAGTGAAAGAGGGGAGGGAAGTGAACAGAGGAAGAGAGAGTGAGAGAGAAGGAGGGAGGGGTAGCAAAGGAGTGTGAGAGGCAGAGAGGAGTAAAGACACTATCTTGTGACTTGACAAAAGAGGGCAGGTCCCAGAGACAGGTAAGAAAGTTTATTTGTTGTCCAGTCGGGGAGATTTTGATGAGGAATCCTAATCAGTAGAAGTTGGCAGCAGGCAGGAGTGTTTTGTGTGTGCAGCAGAAGGAGGCAGAGGGAAATGTTTGTGGACTGAATCCTATTACAGAAACAGCTGAGTGAGTTTCTATAGAAACACTCCAACATACAAAGTGGTGCTGTGTCCTCCTGGTAGCTGCAGGGACTCTGAGTTCGCCACACACACCTCTTCACCTCGGCTTTTTAATCCATCAGTCAGTGAGCATAAATGCTTCTGCACTCAAGTGCATGCAAATGAAAGATTTTCAGTTTTGCAAAATGCAGATCCTGCGACTTTGCGTGATGCAGATGTGGCTCTTCAAGGCTTCAGCGAAAAGGGAGCCTTTTACTCGTCAACTTGAAATCCTCTGGATTGATTTCAGATGGATGCAGCTCCTAGGTGGGTGTGAACCAAAAGCTGTTATGAAAGTAAAAAGGAATGGTCTGGAAATCTCCTTGTAATGCAAGTTTATATTACTTTTTCTTTTGTAATCAAACACATTTTCTTCTGAACCTTCATAGTAGTAAACGACAATAAACAGAATCTGAAATGTGGAAAGAATGCTCAGAAGTAAACCGATCCTCACTGATTCTTGGAATAAAGATGCTGGCATTTGAGGCGCCAGTCGGGGCAAAAAGTTCAAAAATCCTGAACCTGTGGACACAAAACAGGCTATCAGCTGTGGAAAGTCTTTTTTGTTTTTTTATAAAATATTTTTGTAGCTGATTTAATGGTCAAATATGCTGTGTAGTTCATCTTTTTTCCTTAAAAGGTTTTATATTAATCATGTGAGACTGACTAGACGCCACAGTCGGACAATGACAACATTATAAATTAGCCAGTTGGTCGCACAAATTGCTAAAGGGAGATGATTAATTTCTACAGAGAAATTTCTGTCTCTTGTCTGAAGCTTTGGCTAAGTATTGATCTTAACTCTGGACCAGCGAATGTCTATTGCTAGTTAACCAAAATAAAAGAGAGTTTAGAAAAAAGCTTCTTACTAAAGACTGCTGTAACAAAAATTTTTATTATTAAATACAGTGACCGAAGCAAACCATGAATTGAAATTCCTTTTTTTTAAAAACTCAGCTTTCCTTGAAACTGCAAATGTTTCAGTCTCTTGTTTGATAAATTTATACATCAGAAGCAAGCTAATTTTGCACAGATATAGTATTTTATGTGAGATTTTGTTTTTAGATGGCCTCAATACTAAGTTAGTTGCTGAATGTAATTTTTTTTTAGCATTCATAGGTCAGACCAAAATTTTAATAATTCTTAAATCTTTTTTTCAGACTTTGCATTGTATACTTGATTTAACTTTTAATATCTTAATTGTTAAAGGGTATATGTGTAGTAAAAGATTTTCAATTGTTTTCAGGTCTAAATAAAGATGAAAATGTTCAATTTCAAGTCTGAACTTAAGAAGTTACAAGTGTAGCTAAAAGCAATCAGAAGTAGATCAAGAGCACAAGTGAAGGCTGAGAGGAGTAATGATGTTACATTTAAACCCCAAACTTGGACCTACAACACAAAGGACATACAGCCAAGCAAATATAGTTACAGAGAGGTGAAGTTTATGCATTCAACCAGCAAAGAGGAGAAAGCTTGGAGACTCAACAAACAGGCGCCTTACCAAAGTTTTTAAAAGCTCTGTGTAACGTGTGACGCCTGAGTCAGCAGTGGCGACTGTCAGTTCATAAACAAATAACTGTCTTTCAAAATCCTGAAAATACAAGAAAACTGAGAAACTGCAATAAATTCGGCTCCAGTTCTGAGCAGCATTATCGCTTTGATTCTCCCAACAATCGTTCCACTAGGGTCGTCTGCTCTGAGCCATCATTTCATGAAGTGATAATGCAAGTCTCATATTTTTCAACCTGATCAGTCTGTATTTTCCTCATAAGGATTAGCAGCATTACTGTGATATTGTTTTAAAAGTGTTATTTATGAGGACACTGTCCTGTGACAACCTCTGGAGGACTGACTCCAGTCAGCTAGAGAACAACATGTCACTTGGCCCTCAAAGATCCCATGTGTTGGATGGAGAGGATGTTGATAGACTAATGTACAATCAGACTGCAGATGTCAAACTCTCTCCTTCATTTGGCTCAGGCACAGGGGGAAAAACACTTTCAGCTGGGGTTAATTATCATGCCTCAACATTCAGATGGAGGTTTGGAGGCTGGTGGCTTTACATGATCTCTGGACATCAGCAGACGTTCATCAAATGTATTTTCATCAAATGCAAAACTCTTTGTAAAAATATTAAACTCACCATGCTTCTGTCTCCTCAGTGATCTAGTTGTTTCCTTCCTGCTTTATTTTTAAGGATTTTGTACTTTTCAAGATATTTGTTAAACATTTTTCAGATGCAAAACTTTTTTTTTTTTTACCTTGTTATTTTTTTTAAATATAACAATAGCTCAAACTGTGGATCTGGATGACATGCCTTCATCCATATATGGCACTCACTTCCTGTCTATAAAACAGACAAAGCTAGACTTCTTTGTTGTCAAAAAGGGCTCAGAGAAATTATTTATCTGTTTTATATAAGCAAAGGCTTTAAGTTATATTTTCTCTCCAGAAATTTGGATTTTAAACAATTAAACATGACTTTGCAGAAAAAGGACTTGGAACGACCTATTCAGTGACTCCATTAACTGTTTGCTCAGATGGTTTGCCATATGATTCATGCTTATTGGACTCCAAGAACATAGCTGTCCAACTCCAAATCGCGTGTTCTTCAGTCAGATTTACTTATCAAAGTGACACATTGCACAGCAATGAATCAAGCCTCTCTCACATTTGCAGTTTTTAAGCGTTTGCCAGACTACTTCACACCGAATAGCAGAACGAGGAGACAGAAACCTGGTTCTGGTTTCAAACTAAAGGGCTGTGAAGCTCTGAGAGGGAAAAAGGAAGGGCAACGCCAGGGAACACAGGAAACGTCAGGCGTGTTTTTTCAGGCAGGGCCTCTGGATCAGAACCTCTTTCCTGCCGTGGGATGTTTATGTGATGTGTCAGTCAATTTGTTTTTGTGGAACCTTGGTTTGTTTTCCATTAATTTGTGTTTCATTTGTTTTTTTTTAGTCTTGCTATTGTGTTTTATTTCTTGAGTTTAGCTTCTTTCTGTTTGTCTCGGTTTCCAGTTTCACTTCACGCCAGGTTCCAGTTTCATTGTCTTTCTTCTTTGGAGGTTTTTGATTGTATTTCTGGTTTTCACACCCAGTGTGAGCGACTTCTGTGTTGTACACACTAAATGTTGCAAGAAATGCATCGCTGTAGGGCGCCGACATTAAAGAAGGTTTCCTACACAGCCAGAAATGAACATGTTTCTATGGTCTTTAAGAAATGTTGACTGTATTTTATCATCTGTAGTTCAAAATCCACAATATTTCATGTTTTTCTCAAATGTTTCAACCCAAATTAGAGGATAACAATAAAATATTCTCGCAGGCAACACCCAGATAAAACAACAAACAAACCAAATAGAGTCCAGCCACACAAAATAAAGTGCCAAGTAGGTTATTCTTACTCTAAACTCAAGACGCTGATGAAGGGAAATTCATTACCACACAGTTTGAGTGAGATGCAATCTTTATTATTTGTGAAAACACAAACACAAATATTTGTCAGCTCAACTGGAGTGTTGCTCCTGCTGTCTTTCATCTTCCTCTTGACTCCATGGACACTTTTTGTGTTGTCGTTTCTGGGTCAGACCAGTTTCTGACCAATCCCAGTAATACCATGGGTATAAAACCAGAAATAAAACTGTTGGCAGCGAGTCTTGATGGAAAATTAAAATCAGAAACTCCACGAGGCGTGTCAGCAGAGGTTTGAAGTGCTCTGAAAACTCATCCCTTCTCTGTTCTGACTTTGGACTTAATAAAGTGGACCAATGTGGGAAAAAAAAATCTAATCTGTATACAATATATAGGACTCTGTACAATGTGGTCACTCCCTGGCCCAGAGCCAGTTGAACAGGTTTAATGCACAGTCAGTAGCCACAAGGCGGACAGGATGCATCTCTCCTTACTGAAAGGTCAGTTAATTATTTTGTTGACAAACATCTTCTTGTTCAAAATATGGGAGTTTCCAAAAATTAGGATGCTAATGGAACAATTAGGACGCTAATGGAACAATTAGGATGCTAATGGAACAATTAGGATGCTAATGGAACAATTAGGACGCTAATGGAACAATTTTCCATACCAAAAACATTGTAAGACCTTGCACATACTCTGAGCTTCTAACATTCAATGGAGAAATTTGTTAGACCTCAGGGCTTATTCCATCTTACTGTTTTTACCTAAACTATATTTTGTTATCTGTTAACAAACACTGGCACCTTATTTTAGTCACTGACAGCCTACTGGAACTTTTCCAAGGAGAGGTCAAAAGGAAACCTGTCTAACTGATTCTTCACAGACTTCTTGACCTCCACGTTTTAACAGACTGAGCAATACTAGTGTTAGATGACTAAAGAATTAAAATAAAATTCTTAAAAGAAATAACACAATTTTTACTTCACACCAACACAGCAGATGACACGTCTTGCTAAATCATCTCTGACTGTGGGAACTGTGATCTGGACCTCCAGCAGCTTAGAGTCACTCTTCTTCCAGACTCTGGGATCTTAATTTACAAGAGAAATTTGAAATTCACTGAAGTAACACTGAGGAGGAGGAGCATCATTTATACCTCCCTGTCTCTCCTTTTCCCAGCTGAAACAATTTTGCTGTTTCCTCTGACTCAAAAGTGGCTCAAAACAAAGAATTCAACACTTGTAACCCAATTCCTGGATACGTCTCTGTGTCCACACTTTGTGCATCATTTCAAAATCTTAGACTTCACTGAAGGCTGTAATTGTTCCTCTTGCCGGAGCAGCTATGACTACCACAGTTTTTGCTTCCAGTTAACTTTCAAATGTAATGTTCATTTACGATGCTCTGAAGAGACTGGTCTGCAGCCGTAACCCTCAGTGCTGCATCCTCGTTTAGTGACTCTCCAGCAGTCTTCCTCATAATTTTGCAGGCACAACATTTCTGTATTAAAAATTGTTTTCAAAGTTGCTTTCAGTGATGGCAACATTCACATTTCACTGAAAAACACTAACTTTGTGATTATCTGTTAATTGTACTGATTTCAATAATTACACATTGATTACTGAACCTATAAATCGGTTTTGTAAACGTTAAAACCTCACTGGAGAAGCAGCTTCTTTACAGGTTAGAATAAATGCATCGCTCTACTTAATCTGCCTTCCTCCTTTTGGATCTTCCCCTTCATCACGTCACACAATTTCAGTGACATAAAGTCTAAAAAACTGGGCAGTTTTCCAACACCAATGCAATGCAGGAATCATTGGTGCCTCACAGTTGGAGAGTTGAGCTTAAAGCTTGTGGTGATTATTTCCAGCAGGACTTCTTTGCCTGCCCAGGGAGTTGCTAGTTAAAAACACTTCTGCACACTCATTCAGTGCAAGCTGAATACCTTTATTGACCAGATTTGGTAGACGATTGTGTTCCTCCTTCACACAGCTGAGCTTGTTTTCACATCTGTAAACTATATTTCTAAAGATCAGGGGTTGCATTACCCTTTAAAATTCCTCCCACTTTGTTCTGCTGCTGAAAAGGAAAACTGGGTGCGTCGAAGAAGAATCTGCAGCAAAGATTCCCTCATGCAAGCTGACTAATGTTTTTAAACCAGTGTTATCACAAGGACTTTTTCTCATCTGGTCATTAAGGAGCAAATAGCTTAGTAGATTTAAATTATTCAGTCTACCTGCTTGTGAACTAAAGTTATGAAATGTACATATAAATGAATATATTCAGCATTTATTTATTCACTATTTCCAAGTTTCTATTTAATTTTAATTTTATTATGTCTGTAATTTTTAATAATCAGTTATTTTAAGTTATTTTATATTCAATGGGATATACAATATTTTGTTACTGTACTGCTGTAATAATTGATTTTTTCCACTGTGGGATTCATAATGGACTATTCTATTCTATTCTATTCTATTCTATTCTATTCTATTCTATTCTATTGTGTACCTACATTAATGTCTTTGAATTTTCCCACCATGAATGATATTAATTTGCAAATGTTATTCATTTTTGGAGTATTTTGTGTATCATTATCTGATCTTCTTTAAGAATTTACTCAAATTTGACAAAAATAAAACAAACAAACAACAATAACAACAGAAAAACAAACCACCCAGTTCCGTCCTTCAATATAAAGCAACAGCATTTCAGCTCTCATAATGAGCATAGTTCAATTTCTTAAATTGGGCTATCCCTACTACTACTCCTAAATAATCAGGATATGTTTTGGAGAATTCACTCAGCCCTGTTTTGTCACAGAACAAGAAAGTCGTTGAGATTTAATGGCTGACGTGTGAGGAAGAAGCCTGTGGATGTGGCAAAGCAGCAGTCACACGGTGTGGAGGGAGAAACTGTATGATTTTAGTTCAGACCCAGAACCCGGGAGAACCCGAGTTATGGTGAACTTCAAAAATTATAAAAACAAAAGAAAAAAAAAACAGTCAAAGTACGGCAACCGTCTTCTTTCTCTGCGAAAACAAAGTGAAACTCTTTTCATGACCTCAAACTCCTCTAATGAAACCAGTTTTTGGGAATAAATGTGCTTCTATCCCATGTGCAAATATTAAATGAGTGAAGGAAGGAAATGTTAGATTAAAGAAAAGAGCAACGTCACAGTGTTTTCCAAGTTCGAGGTGCTGAAAACAATGAACTCAGAATAAATTGGGAACAAAAGCTGCAACAACAAATCAACAGTGACATCATTTACTGCAACAGGCGCCTTAAATAAAGTCTGTGAAGGGAAGATTTAGTCATTTGTTTTCCCATACACAAAAAGTTGCTCACCAGATGAGCCAGTAAGAAAGTCGGTGCTGAATTGCAGAACCAAATAACAGATCGAAATCCTTTCATTATCGTGATAATTAGGAAATCAATTCTAAAGTTTTAGACGTTTTAACAAAGTTTTATTTAGCTTCAATGAGTAAGTTATTTCACTAAATAACCAACAATTTTAATGCAGACAGAATACTCTCTTCTCCTGACAAAGACTTGGATAATTGTGTAAATTATTCCACTAGGCTGTTTTGTGTTCGACTGGCTTTTTTCTCTACGCACCCACACAAGGTTCCAGATTCACAAAAGGTTTTCACTGCTTTCGCACACGCAATGAAAGTTTATCTGTCCAACTCAGAGCTCTGGTGTTCACCTCGACTCATAAGGAGGAGCAAATAGTTTCTCCATGTATTATGCGTGATTTCACAGGCAACGGGAGCAAAATAAATTTACATTTCTTTTGTGACTTCTGGATGAGTCACTAATATCCTGTTTGAGTCATCTCAGTTCTCCACAGATCCATGTTTTCTCCATTAATGTTGCTCATTTTGGTTTGATGGCCTTATAAAGCTCGGAAATGGTTTTGCAATCTTTTCAAGACAGATAGTCGGTGGTCTTATTTCTTGTCTGTTATTGACTTTCTTTAGACTGAAGCACAAAAGGTTTTTAATGTGTGACCTTTGAGCCTAATCCTGATGTCAGACAGATTCAGTTCAATAGATTTCTTGTTTCTGCAACTCTGGCAATAATCAGGCTTAAGTATAGAAAGAGCTACTTTACTCAACTCGCAACAAAATCTTGTTCCTCTCAGTTAATTTATAATTTAACATGAATTAAATCCATCCTTGTCCCAATGATTTATAGAATAATAATTAATACATTTCCTCTTAGAAAATTATGACTTCAAAACCTTTCTTTATCGCAATGTTGTGCATTTAACTTAAGAAACAACAAGGTTCTTTTTCATGCTCTCTTGTAGGACAATGAAGACTGGTGTGGGACTCATTTCTTCATTGCTCCTGTTCCTCTTAATGGGAGCAGTCTTTGCCCAGAGGCCGCGACCGAAGAAGCCTACCAGACGTCCAGCCACCACCAGGAAGCCTTTTGCCCCCAAGCGTGTGGAACCAGCCGTTTCCGAGCCCCAGGAGCCCACAGATTTCCCTCCGCCCATCCTCGGCCCGCCATCCGTCTTCTCTGATTGTCCCCGAGAGTGTTCATGTTTCCCAAGCTACCCAAATTCTCTCAACTGTGAGAACCGGAACATCCGTGTGGTCCCGGTCATCCCATTCAGAACTCATTACCTGTATCTACAGAACAACTACATCTCTGAGCTCACTGCAGAGGCCTTTAACAATGCTACAGAGGTCCGCTGGATCAATCTGGCAAACAATCGCATCCAGAAAATTGACAAACAGGTTCGTCAGACGGTTTTTGTCTTTTAAGGCCTCTAAAAATCTGAAAATCTGGTTTAAAATGCCAATCTGTTCCCCGTGTCTGCAGGTTTTTGAGAAGCTCCCAGGTCTGCTGTATTTCTATATCCAGAGAAACCAGCTGAATGAAGTGCCATCAGGCCTCCCAACAAGTCTGGAGCAACTTCGTCTGGACAGGAACCGCATTTCCAAGATCCCCGCTGGTGCCTTCACCAAGATGGCGAACCTGACTCTGCTTGACCTGCACTACAACCAGGTGAACCACATTTAGCACCTGTGCAGGCAGGAGAGCCAACTGCATTATGGGAGGAAGATTTTCAGTGTGTGGTGTCTTCTCGGTCAGCTGAGCGACAGTGGCCTGGGAAAGAACACGCTCAAGGACCTGAAGAACCTCATGCAGCTCAACCTGGCGCACAACGTTTTGAAGAAGATGCCCGCTGGAGTGCCAAACAGCCTCATCCAGCTGTTCCTGGACAAGAACCGCATAGATGACATACCAAAGTAAGTAGACAGAATGCAAACATTGGTTAACGGACATGTGTATACAAAGACCCCAATGAACAGTGACAGTGTAAAAGGTATATGGACTGAAATGTTGCCAAAAAATTTAATATTTCTACGATTTGTGCCGCTGTGAGAAAGATTTATATTTGGAACATTGAACATTGCAGATATGAACCAGAAATTTACAATGAAAGCTATTCTTATCTCTGCATGTTTCTTTTTAGTTAAAGTGCAAACTTTTTATCTCAAACCATTAAAAGCTCCAAAATGTAAAATATGTTTGGCAGTTTAAATCCTTCTGCAGTTTCCTTCAGGGCAACAGAAAGTTACATTTAGATGTAGAGAGCTGTTTTTGACTCACCGCTGATTTGTTGAGGAGTACCACCTTTGTTTATGTCCTGTATGCCTGCGCTGTCCAGAGATTACTTCAAGGACTTCACCCATCTGGCGTTTGTGAGGCTCAACTACAACCAGCTGAGCGATAAAGGAGTTCCCAAGGCCGTGTTCAACTTGAGCAGCCTGCTGGATCTGCAGCTGGCTCACAACCAGCTCACAGTGATCCCCCTCTTCAACAATCACCTGGAGCACTTGCACCTCAACCACAACAGCATTGAGAGTAAGTGACGGTCTTCTACTGCTAATCTAGTAACACTCTTCCAAACGTGGAAGAGTGTTACCGGTGCAGTTTGATTTCTCTCTGCACTGGGTAAACGGATTTGGACAAGGAGTTGCAGAACCATGTCCTCGCCTGTGGTGGCACTGCACCAAGACCTGCTGAAGGAAACAACGCAAAAACCTCAAATGAAGACACTGGACACAACTTCCTTCTTCACACAATATAAACAAAATTGGAAAGGTCTCAAATTTCAGAGGTTGTAGAGTTTCTCTTTTGTCTTTGGTAAACAACCACAAGCCATTTCTCCTGCAAACAATAGACTTGGTACATTTGTTTTGGTTGTATTTACCCAGAATGCCATGCGCGCTATATTCTGCTTTCTGCTTTTGGAGCGGTTTCTGGTCTGCTTGCATCCGCAGACGCATTCGAGCAGCGCCAGAGTTCACTTCAACTGCAACTGAACACCTAGGTTTTTAGGCGGATCAGAGTTTTTCCTTCATCAGAGTTTGATTGTGCATTCACACCTCAAACGAACCGGTTTGATTAAAGCGGACTAAGTGGGGCAGGTCCACACCCTAAAATTTCACCTATAAATACAAGTCGACTTGCACATGACTTTGAACTCAATTAAGAAAATATTAAATTTTTTCTGTACATTTCAAAATAAAATAGCACTGAGTCGGCTGACAAGCTGCCTGAACAACACAGCAATCCGCAATTTAGTAAACTCACCGGGGCTTAAAATTTGAAGTTCAGTAAACAATAATAATAATAAAGGAGTTTTTATTTTGTATCTGTAACTATTTGTTTTACTAACAGACATCAACGGCACTGAGATCTGCCCATTCAGCCTGCTGGCCGACCTGACTGACGACCGTCTGGTGCCACGACTAAGGTAGACCAACATGTCAACATGAACCGCATGAGCTCGCTCTGAACGGGTCTAACAGTCGGGTCACATGCTGATGCATTTTATTCTGCTGCCTCAGATACCTGCGTCTGGATGGGAATCATTTGCACCCCCCCATCCCTATGGATGTCTTCATGTGCTTCAGACACCTTCACTCTGTCGACATCTAAGAGGCAGGGTGTCTTCTCACACAAACCTGCACACAGACGAAAAACCAAACAAACGACAGCAGTGCACGACGGGGAATTGGAGATAAAGCACGCTCACTGGAGCACAAGGTTTCGAGCTGGAACGAGCAGAACGAGTTGCATTACTGAAAGAGGAACTCTGCTCAGCTGCAAAGCTTTGAGTTTGCTTTTTAAATGACTGAAAGTGTCATTCTGCCAGAATCCAAGCAGTGGACTGCAAACTGGCAACAAGAGATTATAGGAACATTTAGCTATATTCAATAAAAAAAACATAGAAAAAAAAAAACATTTGAATGAGCAAAACTCCAACTCCAGGTGTAATAAAATACATGCATTTAATAAGTTAAATTTAGCTAAATATGTATTTATTTCAGTAATTCAATTTAAAAAGTGAAACTCATAAGTCGTACAAGTTTATTACCCAGATACACTAAAGAATTCACTTCTGGATGGATTTTGGGTGGATATGAACATTAAATAGGACAAACAAAAACCAATATTCAATGCATGAAAGTATTTAAAGCATAAAGTATTCAGTTTTAACCCCATCCGTCTCCTTTTGCATGAATGAGGTGTGATGTGGTTCAGTCTGCAGTCTGTCCACAAATCCCCATCCTCCGCTTTTGAACAGGTTTTGCTCCACCATTCCCTTAATTTACTTTAACTTTTCATTAATGTGTTTAGATAATGAACTCTGTGAACTGCAGAGTTAGCAGCTGTCAGGTCACCAGCCTTCCCCAGGATTTTTTTTATTTTTTTTTATTGATCTTATGTAACATTTACATTTACACAATCGTGAAAACGAGCGGAGATAAATGAAGAATACGTCACTCTGTTTGTAATGAATCTGTACATGAGTTTCACCTTTTCAGCTGAATTACTAAATTAAATTTATTTGATATTTAAAGCAATGGAGATGCTCCTCTGCTCTGCTACAGAGGGCGGTTTTAAGGACCAACATTTACAGTGCATAGGTCTGAATAACGCCTTCAGTTTCCAAGGTGCTCTGTGTAAAAATGTTTTTGTTATTCCTATTAATAGACTTTTATGTTATTCCTCTGTATAAAGGCGCTTTGTACAAATACTGAAAAATAAAATGTCTTTGCTCATACCTAGCTGATCTTTAATCATATTTTTTTTTCATAGCTCTGATACATTTTCAGAGCTATGGAGTTTGCTGCGCTCAGGTTTTTTGTTTTGTTTTTCTACAAGATAAAACATGTTCACTGGATTTGGGTTTCAGGTAATGTTGAAGTATTTGTATCCTTAGCGTTTCAAAAATGTTCTCAACACATTATGCAAATTTATGCAGTCATCATGCAGGGATGAACGCTGCCAAATTGGCAAGGGGAAAAAATGTAATTCGTTCTAAAAACAGAAACGTTTTCAGGAAGTTTCTCTCTTCAAGTCAGGGTGGAGGAAGAAGTCTGTGGCAGGAAGGATGTGAGCGTAACCAGGAAGAAGCTCCATCCGTTAGATCCAGGTACAAGAACCATGACTCATCCTGACTTTAGTCTTGAATAGATGCTAACAGTCATTAAACAAAAAGAAAACAGCAGAACATCAATACAGAGGCACGCAGAAAGGGAAAATGCGGATTTTAGTTCTCTCTAGTCATCTTCCCCATTGACTCGTTTTCGCTTTTCTTGTAGATGTTTCAGTTGTTTTTTTTTCTAACCTTCAGGTATTTTAACGAGATCATGATTCAATGCACTCTGACACAGTTCCTAGAAACAGCCCCACAGCATCACACTCCCTCTGCCGTACCAGACATTTTGAACAATTCGTCCTTTGTGTTCATCCATACCCACCTGAGAGCTTTGTCACAAAAAAGTTGAATCATAGACTCATCCAAACAGAGCAAACTTGTAAAGTTGAAGTTGCACCAGAATTTATATTTATAAAATAAAAATAAATTGGTATTTTCTACATAAAATAAGCATTTATTTGGACACATTTTTTTCCAGGTGGCAGGCATTGATCAGTTCATCTTGACAGCAACACCTCAGTGTATTTCATTGCAGTTTTTATACAGTAGGTCAACACAAAGCCATAGAGGTATTGGGATGCATAGTTTTAAAAAACATTCACAAATAAAGTTCTAAAGTTTGTATTCATCTCCATGTATTCATCCAAGTCCTTTTGGAAATAAGTCCAGCAGCTTCACTGGAAACTGAAAAATGTTCTTTGCAACAAGATTCAGGCTCAGTCAAACTGAGTACAGGTCATCTGTGAAACATAAATCTAGCAAAATATTCTCATCTGGGCTCAGGTCAGGTTAAGGTTTTCTTTAGACGTCTTGATGTTTTGGTAACTTTGTAGTTGTGCCAGTTTCAGATGCTGAATTGAACATTAAGATGTTTAAACTTTGGGGTGATGTTTTACAGCCTAACCTTGCTCTGGTCTTCCCCAGAACGTCTTCGACCTCTTGCCTGCTGATTTCCTTGCTCTTCATGATGAAGTTTACTAACATGCTGAGGCATTCACAGAACAGCTGGAGTTACACTGAGGACTCTGTGAACTCAGTAAGTGAATTCTGGAGGAAAGAGGTCAATTTCATGTATAGGAATCATATTAACAGGTGCTGCATACATAAGCATGCCACACTTTTCAGATTGGTATTTTCTTTCTTTCTGCTCTTATTTTAGACAGATCAGAAATCTTTATGCAAGATCTTCTTTCTGGTGAATACATTCTTCCTCTCAGGAGATACAGCTTGCCCATGCAGCTCGGTGATGACCCCTACTGGCTACTTACTGTATCACTACTGTTACTAACCTTTTAAAATTTCTGTACTTCCAGTTACAAATGCTGACACATGTTTCCGGCAGGTCGAAAGAGTTTTGCGCTGATAATCTGGCAGTAGCAAACAGTGACTCAATATTGCTCCAAGGCCGCAGGCAATTCCTGTTTTCATCTGACTTCCTTGAAGACATTTTTTTAAAACAATGATTGGATTCTGTTACTGCAAATAGATGAGCAGGTTGAGCGACCGTTTCTGAAAATGACTTGCTAAACCTGTCTTTAGCCTGTGTTTGGACCTCGAGGGGTCAAAAAACAACCAAACAAAAAAAGGTGCAGACAGATGGATAATTGGTGTTGAGCAGCAGAGGGAATGATCGAAACTCTCCAAGAAACTATAACCTGGACAGTTTTAGGTGTAGACACTTAATTCATCCTAAAACTGAGAAAAAAAAAAGCACAGATCATCTGGCAGATTACAAGGCAGATGTACAAAAGTAATGATGACTCTCTTATCTGATGAATGACTCATGAAAGCATTCGCAGGAATGTCAGTGAGAGTTTGTTCTCCACAGTGACATGGGGTTTACGTCACGAAAAAGGAGGAAACTCTCAATTATGGACAATCATTTTCTTTTACAATAGCATGAATGAGGAGTTACTTTAATTGCATCACTTCCAGAAACAGAGGTGTGCAGCTTTCGTTTTTGTGGCTCGGAATATGATTGCAAAAGTCCCCCCTCAGTCTACTATAAGAGCAGAGAGGATGGAGCCTCAGAGACACTCATCCTCTCAGGTAACACACAGGTGAGTCTGAGCACAGGTGATGCTGTTGCTGCTCTGGGTCATGGTGACTGATCATGAACTTTGCACTGGTTCTGTGTACTTTTCTTTAATCTCGTAGGGATATCCCACATGTTGTATAACTAAGTAGTGCAGTAAATGCACACAACCAGGCATTTAATCATTAATGATCGATTGTTGCAGCGGTTCACCAAGATGTTGCCAAGATGGGTGATAACTACATCCTTACATGTAACATTCTCCTGTTGATGCACTGTAAAAGCTGACGGCGCCCTGAAGTTAAAAGCACTTAATTTATCTCCTAACTAAAGTTGGTTTAATAGTTTTATTATGTTTGATTTAGTGTTTGGGTTAATTGTTTCATATCTAACTCATCATTTTAAGACAGCTTCAAAACTTCCACTGCTCAGGACTTAACATTTAACAAATCAAAATGTCTCTATTCAGTTTCACCTGCAGGTAACCACAGCGATGAAGATGCTGCTCAGTTCTTCCATTTGGGCCATGCTCCTCCTCTTCCTCCTCGGTTTTCTGATCCGGGCCGCGGAGAGCCGGACGCTGCACATAGACGGCTGCTCTGCCAACGTTCACCTCCATGAACTACACCAGTACTTCTCTGAGATAAAATCAGATGCGGTGAGTTTAATAAAAACACACACACACACACACACACACACACACACACACACACACACACACACACACACACAGACACACGCCTGTGTCTGCTCATGGATGCAGACACAGGAAGTCATTCGCTTCATGTTCAAATGTTCATTATTAGATGGAAAGAAGCCGCCTGAGAGATTTTAATCCCCCTTTTTCTGATTTTACATGACAGATATCAGCAGACGGCGAGATTGAAGTAAAACTTCTGGATGCGTCTCTGATGAAGAACGTTCAGGTGAGCTTTTCAGGCATTTTCACATGAGAACATTTCCATCCTGTCTCTCTATGTGTACAACAGCATACATCACTCGATGTAGTGATGAATGCTTTCACTCCTAACACCTGCTTGCCTCCAGCAGGAGGGCCAGACGTGCTGCTTTGTGCGTCTCCTGCTGCGTTTCTACGTCGAACGAGTCTTCGGCAACTACGACTCCTCTCAGCCAAGTCAGCAGCGCTGCTCCAGCGCCTTGGCAAACGCTTTTGTCAGCATCAGAAGGGAAATGCATAAATGTGTAAGTCAGCCGTCCTGTTTCAGCTGCGATGTTACCAGAAACAGCTCTGGGTCGTGTTAGTGACTTTTGAACTCTGCTTTTCTCAGCACTGCCACTGTGGAGAAGAAACCCAGAGAACAATTGACTCAGTGCTCGCCAGCTTTGACAAGGTACACTGCACCATGTGTGCTTTCTGTACAAAATGCAAAGATCTTATCTCGGCTCACATAACTCAGCTAGATGCAGAAGGTTTCAGTTTTTGTGAGCAGAGAAATAGCTTTGTAAAGACTTTGCATGTCAGAAATTGTTGAGCATTTATTTTTCTTGTTACAAACTCAACCATAAAGAAATTAAAAAAAATTTGTTAAGCTACTCTAATATTGCTTGAGTGATTTTCCATTTCTGCTCATCTCTAAGCCTCTTTTCTCTCTTCTCTGCTTCTCCTGCTGAGCAGCTGCAGATCCAGCAGGCGGCGCAGAAGGCTGTGGGGGAACTGGGCACAGTGCTGGACTGGCTGGAGGGACTGGGATCTAAATCATAAACACGAAGCTGACCCGCACGAGAGCTACTCGTTCGTCGACCCCTGAGCCATTTTGCATTTCTCTGTGTTTGTACTTGAATTAATTTAAACCTGTATATATTTGTATTCTCTCACACGTTCTTGGTGGAATGTCTGAAGCTGAAAGGATGTATAGTTTGTTGAAATTTAAATGAGCAATAGGTTTTTCTGTGACGTTGTAAAATGACTTTTTATTAAAACAAAGCTTTTATCTCAATTGTAAAAATAAATTAAAAAAATATGACTACACTATAATTTTTCTGCAGCGTTTGTTGTAATTTACTGCCACCTAGGGGCTTTAAGAAGAATGTAACAACAACAGAAAAAAAAAAGATTTCCTCATCAAACTCATCAGCCTCATCAGCCTCATCATAGAACAAAAGAACAGTGTTCATTCAACTCAAATATGAACTTATAAAAAGTAAAATCAAAAAATTAGATCATTTTAAATGGTCTATTAATTTTTTCCAGAGCTTTATCTTTTTTGGAGAATAACTGACAGTGGAGAAATATACACCTAAAGAACATGAGTAAAATATTTGCTACCTGTTAAATGTTTCTTAAAAAACCCAATAGGGTGAGTTTTGGGTCACTGTCTTCAAAAAGCAGCGAGTGCAGAATGAATGTAAACGTGACCAACCCTGAATCCAGCAGAACAGCCCAGACCATCACACTTCCTCCTCCGTGTTTGACAGCAGACGCCCCACACTGTGGAACGATCCTTTCAGCTGCTACACAGTGTGAACTGAAAACGTCAAATTATGATTCATCAGTCCTTTTTCACCTCTATTCCTGGTAGTTGTGTTTCATGGCACAGATAAGCTTCCTTATATCAGTCTGATATGATATTTAGTGTTTTATTTGTGTTGCTGCAAATCTGCAGATCTTCACAGTGAGACTTGATTACTACTGTCACTATTAGACTACATCTATGAGCCGCTCATCACCAAGCTGCTTACTTTAGGATCTTGCCCTCTGAATCGGTTGTGGCTTTTGGTCTGCCAGACCTCTTCCTGTCAGAGTGTGCCCCAGTTTCTGAGTCTTAACTTTGTTTTCCACAGTAAACATCTTTCGGTGTTACGTTGGTCTTTCTTCCATTGTTAACCTGTTTAATTCCACATTTTTTTCTGCAAAATAAGTGCATCCATTTCAGTCCTCAGAGCTCCCCAACACATGATATTTATGAATTATTACATTTTATGTTAAGTTAGTGAAAATGTAGGTTTTATACTCTGCAACAATTGTCTAAATTACACAATTCTGGCCTGTTTATACGTATAAGAAAAATAAGAAAAATTATGACATGCATAATCTATTATAACAAAGAATGGTTACAAGAATGTTCAGAAATATTTTAGACACATAAAGATTCAATGCTGAATCCTGCAGATGTCACAGTCTTAATGTGCCAAGTGACCTTTGACCTCAATTAGTTATTTCATCAAGGAGGCAAGGTCAGGTTAAAATGCTAGTATGAACAAATGTGTATCTGGGAGGAAATTGTCCCTGTTCCACCAGACCAAGAGCTACACCCTGGCAGTTTCAGGCGAGGCGTCATCTTGTAGTTGTCATTCAGTGCATGAGCCACATTTTGTGTAAAGAGTTGCTTTTCGGGGGGTGAAACAGGGAAGAGGTTCAACTGTGGGAATGACAGTGATGCAAAAAACATCACATTGAGGTTATTTAAGCCCTAGAAGATCTAAGACATCTGATAGCTGTGTGGCATACAGAATAAAGAGCAAAGCTATGAACACGTAGCATAGTCCTGTCAATGTGTTATGCTAGTGGCAACATTGTTGCCATGCTCACATTCACTCTTCTTATGCTCAAAAGATGACTGGAGGGATACAATTTTATTTATACATCAGTAGAAGACATTTCAAAGGACATATGTTCAAAATATTTTATTCATATTTGTTTATTTACATATTATTTAAATATTTTACTGATTTTCTATTGTTCAGGTTTGTGACAGACATTTACTGCCGGCATCACACACAGAAAGTAAAGAGGTCATGTGACCTTTCACACTAGATACATGAAATTGATATTGCTTAGAGTATGCACCCTGTTATTTTACTTTAAAACTGCATTTGGCTGCCAAAAGTCAAATAAATTGTTCTAGAGCTTCCAGAAGTTACAAAAAAAAGTCTGGCAATAATTGTTGCCAGTGGGATTAAACGGGTTAAGTGCCTCAATCTCTCTGTTTTTGTAACAACTTTCTGAGGTGCTGTTCAGCAGATGCTCATCTGGGAGGAGCATTGTGATCCAACGCTGATTTTATGAGGTCATAAAATAATCCAGAAAGTTTGGACCACCTGGAATTAGTCGCACCAGCTTTCAACTTTAAATTTAAAGTGAGTTTTAAATTTAAATTAAATTATGTTTTGTATTCCCGGTAAAATACCTCACTGTACTATTCTGAAATTATTTTTCAGTTAAGGTCTGGCAGTTCATCAATTACGTTTGTAACATTTCAAGATCCTCACTGGGATTGAATAATAATAATTTAAAAAAAGCTTGAATTGAAACAATAATTTTGTGTGTAATAAAACATTTTACCAGTAGAGTTGGTTTTATAGAGTTTTCCATTGCCTTTACTCAGCAAATTCCCAAGTAAAATAGACTCACATCAGCCCAGCAGGTGGCGCTAGAGTCTGATGCTCTGAACCCATTGGTGACATGGATGAAGTGGGGATTTTGTGAAAGTTTGTTAGCTCCTCTTTTCCCTTGAAAAGAACCAAAGTGTCTTCACTGAATGCTATTTTAGCAGAGCTGCCTCATGCATGAAACCATGCCAGAGACTTTAAGTGTTGCTGCAGATTAGATTTCAGAAAAATTGTCTTGCTAAAACACAAAACTGTTAAAAAACAACATAAAAAGTACAACCAAAAACAACTGCAACCCCCTTCTAATTGAGATGATCTGACTGCAATGTTATTGTTTTGTTTTGTTTTTTTCACTTTTAAGATCAGAGAGAAATGAAACCTAAATCAATCTGGCCCAACTGAACTTTCTTTCTTTTGAATCTAGCATGTGATGCATTTCCTTTAGTGGTTTTTTTGTTTACTGAGGGCAGCAAAAAAGCTGCATTTCAAGAGTGAAAGTAGACAATTTGAGTGACTTTTCAAATGATTTCCCAATAAATTAAAGATGCAAACATTTTGAAACACTTGTCTGATATAGAAACGTGATATTGAACTGACAATGATGCAAAGTTAATAGTAACTTTGACTGGAATTTATTATATTTAGCCTTTTAAAAAGAAGAACATAGATATTAGTATGCTCCCGAAGACCTTTTTGAGTCTGTATAAGCATGAGCCATCGTCTGTGGTGTGTTGGAGCAGCAGCTTACTTACAGCTGAGAGGAAACGGGTAGATGAGCTTATCTGGAAGGCCGGCACTGTCCTTGGATGACCCTCGACTCAGTGCAGGTCATGAGAGGCAATAATGGAGAATGTTTCCCACTTCATCAGAGCTCATTCAGGGACAGACTGCTACATCATAGGAGTGCAGAGGAGAATTATTTCAGATCCATATAGTCAAAAACTGTCGCTGTTTCCAACAAACCTAATATGTGTTTACATTTCTGCTGGTGCTTTCAGTTATTTGCAGGTTTACTCAATTCAAATATTGTGTCTGCTGATATTTTCACATTTATGTTTGCAGTTTTATTTTGGCTTTTTATACAAATGTTTTAAGTTTTTGTGGCGTCAGTGTAGCCTTTATTCAACAGTAGCAATACGGGAAGAAGAAGAAGAAGAAGTCATGCAGCGAATGGTAGAAAGAAACCTCCAGCAGAACCCGATTCAGTACAGGCAGCCATCTGACACACAACCAACTGGGAGTCTGAGGCACAACAAGACGCAGGAGAACTAGTAAAACTGTACTTTCTATGCTAAAGGAAAGTGAAAAGTTAACCGCAGGGGATGGAGTATGGCAGCATCATCTCACTTGATGCTCCCCGCCAGGAAGCCAAACAAAATCATAATATAGATGTAGCTTCTATGGAGAGAGAAGAAAAACTGAGAGAAAACAAAGTTGACAGATGAAATAGCAGAACATGATGCAGATAGGGGAGCAGAGGCATAAAAAGTGAGGAAAAGCGGTGAGTTTCTCCTCCAGCAGCCTAAACTTGTTGCAGTATAACTTCATAAGACAGTTCAGAATAACCTGAGCATGAGAGGCACATTCCAACGACTCGTTGCATTTTCCTGTAACATGCTATTTTATCAAAGTAGTGTGGTGTAGACTGGTATGAGAACGCTTTTCTTTAATTAAATGTACAGAAAACAAATGACATGTGCTTTGATTTTGGACAAAAGCCCCAAAACACAAATCAAACTGTAGTTAAAGAACAGAAGATCAGACAGGAGTAAATAAGCTAAAATGTACCTGCTATTGAAAGTACCTGCAGAGACGGTTTTGCCTAAGGAAGCTTGAAAAGTTTCAGGTTGATGAGTCAATGACGATCCTGTTTTATAGATCATATATTGAATCTGTGTTGACTTTTTTTCTCCTCTGTTGGTTAGAAAATCTTAGTATGAGGCCAACAAAATGCCCTTAGCAGAATGATGCATAATGTCTTTTTAGGTACGTTTTATTGTTCTTATTTGTTATTTTGCTTTCACACTTTATCTTTTAGTTTGACATCAATAGCAGCCCGTTTAGGACACAAATAAACATGAATCTACAACTCTGTGAAAAATGCATGTATTAACTTGTATTTTGTACTGTGCTGCCTGTCTGGTTGTAGAGCAGGGTTCTGTCCGGTTCTGTCCGGTTCTGTCCGAGGCTCCTCGGAGTCTCCTCTTCTGCTGATCTCCTCTGTTTGGATGCTTGCGTGTTTCCATTTGCAGAACACGTCTCTGTGTTAAATGCATGTGTGTTGTTTCTGCACCATGTGGGCAAACCTAATCCTGAGATGTTACGCTTACTCAAAAATCCTGATAAGAAAAAAGGAGGATTTCTTTTTAACCTGTTATTCAGCAACTTTGTTATTCTACCTAATGATAAGATACACGTATTATATGAGATCAATAAAAGTATCAATTGAAATTTGATTAAATGTTTCTTTCTTTAAAACCAATGTGTATTTAAAAGACACTGCGGCTTAATTAGTCTTTGTTCAAATACGAATTAAAGAAATCCAGACAGGATGCAAGATAATAATAATAAAAAAAGTTAAAATTAGAATACTTGTGATATTGAATGATGGCAGATAAAGAAATA